GAAAGAGGTGGCCTGTTACCTCAAACAAAAATGATAGGGGAAGATGGTTTCTCCACATAGTCAGAGAAGACCTCACTGTAGATGAGACATTTAGCCTAATTTCAGAAAGTGCTGAGGTAGAAAAGAGCTTGATATAAAAGAGCCTACAGAGATGAAAAGGACTGGAGTAAGCAGAAGAGAGCACAAGCAGTGTTAAGTGCAGCTGAGAGGATGCTGACAGCCAGATGGCACAGGGTCTGCTGGGCCCTGTCAGGGATTTGAACTTAACTTCATTAACCTAGGATCTATGAACAGCAAGGAAAAAAATATAGCAAAAGTGCAATGGGAAGCCATTGATGAGTTTTCAGTGATGAGTTGGGGGATGGCATGATTGGATTTTGACTTTATAAAATTCACTCTGGCTGATGTATCACCAGAGATAGGAAGGTAAAGAGTAGAAATGGAGGGGCTATTGTGGGACAGGCAGTGCAGACCATGATTGACTAAACATAAGTAGTGACAATGGAGGTGGGAAAGATAGTTGAGGAGATGACATGTTCTTCTGGTGGACTTGACAGATGTGAAGCAAAGAGGGATGGATAATCCTTGGGTTACTGGTTTAAACAGTTGACTACGTAGAATGCCACCTGTAGACCTGGGGAACCTAGGAAAGAATGGGGTTTTGGGGTACACTGATTTCCTAGTGATGCTGCAACAAATCCCCACAGTTTTAGCAGATTAAAACACACAGATGTCTTGTTTTACAGTACAGAGGTCAGAAATCTGAAAGGGGCCTTACAAGGCTAACAGCAAGGTGTGGACAAAGCTTTGTTCTTCCTTAGGCACTATGGAACAATCTGTGTCCTTACTTTCTCTACCATCTAGAGCTTACTTGCACTGTGCGCCTCAGGCTGGGCCGTCCTCCATCTTCACTGTTAGCAATGACTGACCAAGCCTTTCTCACACTATCTTATTTGACTTCTATTCTCCTACCTCCTTCTTGCTTATAAAGATCCCAACGACACCTTAAATCCACTTAGAAAATCCAAATGAATCTCTCCATGCTACAGTGAATTGATTAGCAATCCTAATTCCATCTGTAGCTTTAACTTTCCCTTGCTAATATATTCAGATTTCAAGAATTGCGACATGAACATCTTGCCAAGTGGGGTAAGAGTATTATTTCTCATACCATGTGTAGAAAAGTTGACATGTATTTCAAGACAAGTTAAATGTGAGGTACCAGTATGTCGACCATGTAGGAATTTGTAATGTAGGTCTTTCCATTTGTGATTTGGATGCCCAAGGAAAGGTTAGAGCTAAATTAGGAGGTTCAACATGGAGATGGTATAAAGATATTAGTGTATCAGATATCACTGCAGAAGAGATAGCATCTAGCAAGCTTCTGCAGTTAGAATGGAGAGAAAGCCAACAGAGAAACAGAAAACAGCTAGAGAAATAAGACAAATACAAAGTAGGGCAGGGTCTTGAAGTTTTAGGTGTGATCCTGAGTTAAAGGGGGCAGGGAGCCCAGGTTAAATGTGACATTTACAGATGTGTCCACAAATTGTGAGGCCTTGATGCAAGCTGTTTCAATAAAGTGGTATGGAAAGAAGCAAAACTGATGGAGGTGGAGGAGTGGTGGGACCTGTTCTATGACCGGAGGTGGTCAGGTTCTATGTGATCTACGCAAATTCAGCAGCAATGTATATTTGTGTATGCTTATTAAAAATAGTGAAGCAATCACATTTGATCATAGTCTTTTCCCCATGAAGCCAGGAGCTACACAACATCACCATTGTGTTTTCTCATCTAGTCAAAACTGTAGAAAGGCTAACTTGATACATGAAAGGGGGACAGCCGTTTTTGAGGTCCCATCACTGCGCTCTGTGTGTAAAGCAAGAGCAGAAGTAAACAGAAGCAATAAAATACCACCACCTTCCTGAAAGCATCACAGGAAATCCTATAGAAGCAAGCAGCAGGAGCTGCTCAGGAGAATATAAAAATATTCTGTAGTAAGACTCAAGGCTTATCTTTGTATCAAAGAGTCTACACTTCTGGCTTTTTTGATTTTTCTAAAGATTCTTATTGGAGGACAAGACTACCATATTCTCATCAGAAGGACCCAGAAAAATGTGCTTTGGTAACTAGTGATTCCCCCTGGAGGCTCATCCACGTTGAACCACACCCTGGTAGAAGGAGATAGTGGAAAGACTCTTTAGCCTGCACTGCCTCTGCCCTCTGCTGAACTGGGTCCTGCAAAAGGAACAGGCACTCTCAGAACAAGAAGATTCAAATGCTAAACCCAAATGCTTCCTCATTATCATTGTTGTCAAATTAAAGTAAATAAGAAAAACCTTAGAAGCACAAGAGAATAATTGAGGTATTTATTTGTTTACATCTTAATCTGATACTATAAACAAATTTTATTTCATATCATAGACCTAAATACAACAATGAAATTATATAGTTAGGGTAGGCAAAACTTTCTTAGAACACATGAAATGAAAACTGTAAAAGTACTGACAGATACACTAAGCCAAAATTGTAAACATCTGTTCATTAAGAGAATAGCAGACAGTGTGCACCTGTAGTCCTAGTTATGCAGAAGGCTAAGGCAGAAGGATACCTTGAGTCAAGGAGTTTGAGACTAGCCTGGGCCATATAGCTCCCCCAGGAAGGAATAAGTAAGCCACAGACTTAAGAAATAATGTTTTTGAAATACACATCTGATGCAGAACTTAAATCCATGATCCACATGACACTCCTCTACCTCAATAACAAAAGAAGCTAATTTTAAATGAGCAGAAAGTTTTATTCTGTGATAATTGTCTGCTTCATTGAATCAAATAGTTTCAATTTAGTGGAGTTAATAGCTTTTAAAAAAAGAAAGTGGGGAAAGTTGATTTAAACCAAAGAATACAGTTTAACCAGCTTGCGTACTGAAAGCTAGGCTAAGTTCCACCTGGTGGCAGAAAGTGTGAATTGCAGAGACAGAGACAGGCAAGAGACAGAGAGAGAGAGAGAGAGAGAGAGAGAGAGAGAGAGAGA